AGGGGGAAGAAGAGGAGGAAGAGGGGAGGGAGAGAAGGGGGAGAAAGAGGAGGGAGAAGGGGGGAACGAAGAGGAGGAGGGGAAGGGAGGGGAGAGGAAGGGAGAGAAAGAGAGAGGAGGGAGGAAGGGGAGAGAAGGGGAAGAGGAAGGGCAGAGGAATGATCTTTCCTTTCTAACAAAGATCTTTTTTCCCTTCTTCCTCCCATCTCCCTTTTACTCTTCACTCTCAGCCTCTTTGCATATTTACACTCTCGTCTCCAAGCGGTTGAGTGTTGCAGGAGAACTCGGGAATAGAGAGAGAGAGAGAGAGAGAAGAGAGAGAGAGAGAGAGAGAGAGACGAGAGAGAGAAGAGAGAGAGAGAGAGAGAAGAGAGGAGAGAAGAGAAGAAAGAAAGAAAGAAAGAGAGAGAGAGATCGAGGAGAGAAAGAGAAAGAAGAAGAAGAGAAACAGAAAGAAAGAAGAAGAAGAGAGAGAGAGAAAGAGAAGAAGAAACAGAAGGCAAAACGCGGGGGAAAAATTACTTGCCTCCCAGCGCGGCGGAAAAGCCACGAAAGCCCAGCCAGTAACGCCAGAAGCCAGCGGAAGTTAACGGGGTAACAAAGCGATGTGGGGAGGGGGGAGGGAGGGATGGTGGGGGAAGGGGGGGAGGGGAGGGGAATGGTGGGAAAGGGGGGGGAAGGGGGGAAAAGGATGGTGGGAGGAGGGAGGGGGGAGGTGGGGGAAGGGGGGAAAGGATGGTGGGGAGGAGGGGGATGGTGGGGGGAAGGGGGAGGAAAAGGATGGTGGGAGAGGGGGGGGGGAATCGGATTACTGCGGTGGGCAAGGTGTATATACCACTGTCCTTATAAGGCCGCAGGTACCGTCACCTTCTCTCTCTCTCTCTCCTCATCTTTTTGTTCTCTCGTTTTTCATTTTTCTCCCTCTGCTCTCTGACTCTGGACTCGGTCTCTCTGTCCTGTCCTTTCTCTCTCTCTTCCTCTCCTACTCTCTTATGGCTCTTACTCTCTCTCCTCTCCTCTCCTCTCCTCTCTTTCTCTTCTCTCTCTCTCCTCTTTAAGCACGCCCCAGCCCATCAACTTCCAAGCCTCCCCCCCCTCTCCATCCCACCCAGAGCCCCCTCCCATCCCACCCAGCCGGCCCATCCAGCCCCCCAGCCCGCCCCCTCCAACCGCCCCCATCCCCCCTACCCCACGCCCCACCCCCCACTCCCATCACGCCCAGCCGCCCACCGGACACCGCACGCCCGCGCAGGAAGCGGCGGCCCAGACCAGCGCGTCCGCCCGCCGCCCGCAGCGAGGTGAAAGTGGGCGGAGTCTGCATTCGGCGCTGGGAGCCATTGTCGTCGGGATCAAGACAGTAATTTTATGCAATCGAGTTTCGTTGTTGTTTTTTTTTTTCTCTCTCTCTCTCTCTCTTTCTTTCTCTCTCTTTTTGCGCTTCCGATCAACAGGATGTGGGCGAGGGGGATGCGAGGGCAGCGTGGGGGCGACGGGGGAGGAAGGGGAAGTGAGGAGAGGGAGGGAGGGGAGGCGGAGGGAAGAGGAGGGGGAGGGGAGGAAAGAGAGATTAGAGAGAGATTAAAGATATATATATATATATATATATTATATATATATATATTATATATAGAGAGAGAGAGATAGAGAGATGAGAGAGAGAGAGAGAGAGAGAGAGAGGTAGAGAGAGAGAGAGAAGAAGAAGAGAGAGAGATTAATAATCAAATTGAGGAAGAGAATAAGAAAAAATATAATAATAACAAAAAAATAATAGCAATAAATAATGACAATAAAAGTAATTACCATCATCCTCATACAAAAAAAGAAAAAAAAGAGAAGATAAAAAACAAAAAATGACACATAACGACAGAACACAAGAAGTTATAAAGTGCCCGAAGATGACAACAAAAAATGTTATGGAAAGAGAACTGTTTTTGTTCAGGATATACAAACGATCTAGACGGGGAGGGGGGAGGTGTCTAGGGAGGGGGGGCTGGGAGGGGCAGGGGGGGGAGAGGAGAGGTGAAGGGAGAGGGTGGGGAGAGGGACTAGGAGAGGTTGTGGGGAGAGGGAGGGACAGGGTTTGTGGAGAGGGTGGGGGAGAGGCTGGAAAGGGTGGGGGAGGGCGAAGAGAGGGTGAGGGGAGAGGGATGGGTAGGGTTGTGGAGAGGGTGAGAAGGGTGGGGCAGGGTGGGGAGAGGGCGGAGAGAGGGTGAGGGAGAGGATGGGCAGGGCTGTGGGGTGGGGGGGAAGGGAGGGTGCAGCAAGGGGGTTGGGGGCACTGGGCCTCGGTGGAGGGTGGGCGGGGTGTGAGAACAGGAGAACGAGGACAGCGACAGCAAGGAAGTTTTTAAACCCTCCCTCCTCCCCAACTTTCCTAACCGACCTACCCCCCCTCCCTCTCTTGTACCACACACCTCTCCTCCTCCTCCTCCTCCTCCCCCTACTCCTGGGCGCAGCAGAAGTTGGAGAAGCGGAAAAACAAAGTACAAGTGCAAAAAGGAGACAAAAGAGATAGATAGATTGATAGATAGATGAGAGAGAGAGAGAAAGACAGAAGGCAGATAAAAAAAACAGGGTCAAAGACAGAGAAGGAAAAAGTTTAAAAAAAAGAAAAAAAAAAAATAAGGAGAAAGAGGAAAAAAGACAGAAAATGAAAAAGAGATGGCCAGCGAGAAATACACACTAAGAGACGAAGGCAGAGCCTTCTCTCATGAGGAGGGATGACTCGTCGAGAGAAAGAGCGTCGGAGAGAGAGAGGAGAGAGGACATGAGCGAGGCTGAGAGGAGATCGAGAGATAGAGAGACGTAAGGAGAGAGAGGAGAGAGATGAGAGAGACAGAAGAGAATAGATGAGAAAAGGAGAGAGAAGACATCACCGAGACAGCAGAGCACAGACGAAAAGAGAAGAGGAGAGAGTGAAAGAAGACAGCCCGAGAGAGAAGAAAAAGGTCCAAACGAGGCTAGAATAAAACAAAGGATTCGTAGCGAGACAACGCGAGCGACACAGCGCGACCAACAGACTGGAGAAAGTTGAGAGAGAAATGAAAGACAGAAGAGCGATCACGCAGTGTGACTGAAGAGGAGATAAAGGAGAGAGAGCGTGGAGAGACCGGGAGGCAGAGAATCAGTCGGACAGAGGACAGAGATGAGAGAGAGAGAGAAAGAGAGGAGAGGAGAAGAGAGAGGAGAGAGAGGAGAGAAAGAGCCTGCATGGGCACCAGCTTCATAAACATTTCTTTCCTCCGATTACCATTTAATTGGCAAATAACACCGGTCCGGCCGTGGCACCCGATCGCGCCGGCACCCAGCCCTGAATCGGCTCCCGGCCCTTTATTTGGCACCGTGAATTCCTCTCGTCGCTCCGGGTCTGACGTCACTCGCCGACTAAGATTTAATTGCTGCGAGACAAGAGGTCGGGATTTAATTGATCTCCTATGCTATTTCCTGGATAAGGGGGGAGGGGGGGAGGGGAGGGAGGAAGGGGGGTGGGGTGGAGGGGTGGGGGTGGTGGGTAGGTGGTGGTTCGTTAGCTATCTCTTTCTCTCTCTCTCTCTCAATTTCTCTCGCTTTCTTTTTCGTTGTTTTTCTCTCGTCTCTGTTTGTCTCTCTCTCTCGTTCTTTCTTCCTCTTATTCTTTTCGTACTTTTCCTCTCAATCTTAACCCCTTCCACTTTCTCTTCCCTCTTCCACTGCCACCCTGTTCATTCACTCTCTCTCTCTCTCTCTCTCTGTTCTTTCTTCTTCCTGTTTTCTCTACCTCTCCCTCCCCAATCCTCCTACCTCCTCCTCCCTCTCCATTCTGTTCATTCTACTCGCTATCCCAACCTTCCCCACCCCTCCCCCCTGCCCTCCCTCTTTACGCACTCCCTCCCACACACACAAACACATCCTCCTCCCCTCCCCTTCCCTCCCCTCCCCCCTGCCCCTCCCGCTACGCACTCCCTCCCACACACACAAACACCCTTCCCCCCCTCCCTCTTACGCACTCCCTCCCACACACAAACACACCCTCCTCCCCTCCCCCCCCCCCTCCCTCTTACGCACTCCCTCCCACACACACAAACACATCTCCCACCCCCCTCCCCTCCCCCCTCCCCCCTCCCTCTTACGCACTCCCTCCCACACACACAAACACATCCTCCCACCCCTCCCCTTCCCTCCCCTCCCCTCCCCCCCTCCCTCTTACACACTCCCTCCCACACACACAAACACATCCTCCCACCCCCTCCCCCTCCCCCCTCCCTCTTACGCACTCCCTCCCACACACACAAACACACCCTCCCCACACACCCACACCTCCCACCCACCCTCCCCTCCCCCCTCCCTCTTACACACACAAACACATCCTCCCACCCTCCCCCTCCCCCCTTCCCTCCCCTCCCCCCCTCCGCAAGACAAAGATGATATCACACAAGTTGACTGACATCCGCCAAGGTACGAGCTGTCATCAAACTCTCGCCTTTTTCCACTTTGGATTTACTCGTGTTCAGCGACTTACTCATGCTCAGCAGTTACTCACTGTGCGAAATTACTTCTTTTCTGTACTCACGGTGCTGTTGTGGCATGGGCTGGGGTGGGTGAAGGGGGTGGGGGTGGGGGGGGGCATCTGACGTAACATACCTGTGGAGAGATAAAGGTAATGATTATTTATACAATTTAGACATTATAAGCATTTTTTTAAAAATAATTTACCTGTTTTATATATACTAGACACACACACATGTATACACTCACATACACACATGTATATGTGTGTGTGTGTGTGTGTGTGGTGTGTGTTGTGTGTGTGTGTCAGTTAGTGAGTGAGTGAGCGAGTATGTGTGTGTGTGTATGTATGTAATGACAACAGCAATAATAAATAATAATAATAATAATAATAATAATATAATAATAATAATAATAATAATAATAACAATAATGATAATAATAATAAAAAATAATATTAATAACAATAATGATTATTGTGCTTCTAAACTACCCCCCCCCCCTCTGTGCAAGGAATGGCCGGTGTTTCCATCCCCTTGAGAGAACACATACACAAAGAAAAAGATAAAAAAAAAGGAAACCCAACGAAAGCGAACCAGCAGACAACAACAGAACAGCAGAACAGCCACGGACGACAGACGCAGACGCCACAGCCACGGACCGACAGACGCAGACGCCACAGCCACGGACCGACAGACGCAGACGCCACAGCCACGGACCGACAGACGCAGACGCCACAGCCCACGGACCGACAGACGCAGACGCCACAGCCACGGACACAGACGCACGACCAGACGGACCGACAGACGCAGACGCCACAGCCACGGACCGACAGACGACGCCACAGACGGACCACAGACGCAGACGCCACAGCCAACCAGACGCACGCCACAGCCACGGACCGACAGACGCAACGCCACAGCCACGACCACAGACGCAGACGACAGCCACGGACCCAGACGCAGACGCCACAGCCACGGACCCACAGACGCGACGCACAGACGCACGCCACAGCCACGGACCGACAGACGCAGACGCCACAGCACGGACGACAGACGGAGCGACGCAGACGCAGACGCCACAGCCACGGACCGACAGACGCAGACGCACAGCACGACCCACAGACGCAGACGACACAGAAACGGACCGACAGACGCAGACGCCACAGCCACGGACGACAGACAGACGACGCCACAGCCACGGACCGACAGACGCAGACGACCGCCACAGCCACGGACCGACAGACGCAGAACGCCACAGCCACGGACCGACAGACGCAGACGCACAAGCCACGGACCGACAGACGCAGACGCCACAGCCACGGACGACAGACGCAGACGCCACAGCCAGGACCCACAGACGCAGACGCCACAGCCACGACGACAGACGCAGACGCCACAGCCACGGACGACAGACGCAGACGCCACAGCCACGGACCGACAGACGCAGACGCCACAGCACGGACCGACAGACGCAGACGCCACGCCACGGACCGACAGACGCAGACGCCACAGCCACGGACCCACAGACGCAGACCACAGCCACGGACCGACAGACGCACGCCAGCCACGGACCGACAGACGCAGACGCCACAGCCACGGACCGACAGACGCAGACGCCACAGCCACGGACCGACGACGCAGACGCCACAGACGGACACAGACGCAGACGCCACAGCCACGTCGCACAACGGTCCGAGATCATGTCCCGCAACCTCGACGCCAAGAACAAAGCCGCAAGGAGATGAGTGGCGTCCGTTACGGGAGACAGCGTCGGTGTGTCAGCGTGTCTGTCTGTCTGTCTGTCTGTCTGCCTGGGGGTGTGAGGGGGTGTTTGTCTGTTTGTCTTCTCTTGCTTCTATGTTCTCTTGTGCTTTTTACCTTCTCGTTTTGTTTTTCTTTGAACTTTTACCTTTCTCCCTCTCCCCCTCTCCCTCTCTCTCCTCTCCCTCTCCTCCCCCCCCTCCCCGCCCTTCCTCTGACATCCTCTCCCTCTTCCTCCAATACTTCTTTCTCGTCTCCCTTCACAGCTCCATCTTCAAAGGCTGTTCTATTTTCCTCTAAATGAGTTACGAGCTATATGGGGCTGGCGGAGAAGTGGAGTGGAGGAGGAGAGGCGCTGGAGGAGGAGAGGCGGAGGAAGTGCAGGAGGGGAGAGGCGGAGAAAGTGGAGGAGGAGGGGAGGAAGTGGATGGAGCAGATGGAGAGAGTGGGAGACGATGATATATATAGGGGAAGGGAAGATATCTATATACATATATGCATATAACCATACATATACATATATAATATATATATATATATATATATATATTATATATATATATATATTATATGTGTGTGTGTGTGTTGTGTGTGTGTGTGTGTGTGTGGCGTGCGTGCGTGCGTGCGTGCGTGGTGTATGTATGTATGTAAGGGGAAAATGAAGAGAGCGAGAGTGAGAGGAAGAGAGAGACAGAGAATCAGAGATACATAGGCAGATAAATAGATATATAGATAGATAGAGAGAGGGAGGAAAAAAGAGAAAGAAAGAGAAAGAAAGCGAGAGAGAGGTCGGGGAAAATTAATCCACAGCCTCGCCAATTCCTTAATCAAAAAGAAACGAAGCGGAGAGATGGAAAAAAGGCGAGAGAGAGTGTGCAGGAAATAACGGAAAAGAAAACCACAGAAAGCAATAATAATAAACGGTACACAAAGAGAAAGATGAACGATAAAATTGCAAAAGTGAAATCGCAATAAGATAAGACTGATGAAAATGGAAATTGAAAAGCAGATGGGTATGACGTAGCAAAGATAATGATAGTGATAATAATGATAAAGATAATGATGAAAATGATAAT